GCTAATTACGTTAATCCATAGTCCACAATCCACATAGTTCACAAACCCAATAGCGCGAAAAAAAGAGCGGGGAAAAGAGCATCTCATATCAGGCCTTCTTTAATTTTCACCACCACTTTATCTAGGATAAACTTCTGTGATGGAGACTTCATTTTGGGAGGATTCAGGCAGGGATGTTTTCCCGGTTGATGATTTATCCGTCGACTGCGAGAGGGGTTGGTGTGTCGGGAATGACTGTGTCTGACTATTGCCAAAAAATGCCGGCATATTTGGCGTTGGCATAGTGACAGAATAACTGCTCAACATTAAAACTACCTGAGCCATCGTAGGCCTTGATTCCACATCTGCCTGAACACACAAGAAGCCAATGTGCATAGTTTGAAGAACTTCCTTCCTGTCATACGATTCGCTGACACTCGGATCCAGCAATGTCAATGGTGATCCATTTCTCCATTGTTTCCACGACTACAAAGCAAAAGATCTCGTTACGTCAGGTAAAGGAAAGTTATACTCTTCCGGTCCTTAATAAAAGACATTTTGATTTCTCTTAGATTTCACATATTATGCATTTTAAATTGAAAAAAAAAATCTTAAAAATATGCATAGTAGGTGAAACCTTAGAAAAAACAAAATAGTTTATATTAAGGATCGGAGAGAGTATAACACAAATTAAAGAAAATACAGGTTAATGAAACTATCATTTCTTCAAGTATGATATTACTTCCATTTGGTTATACAAACCCCGTCCCAGGATAAGATTCTTGTTGTTTTAACTAGTTTAGCAAAAATGTTAAACAATCCAAATCAAATTTCGCAATCAGATGAAGAACGGCATGTGATCTACTTAAAGAACAGATCTATCCATTTGTTGACTCTCCATTTTAGTCTTTGAGCGGCAATTTAATTTGTTCATCGACACGCTACCAACTTTAATCGGCTATTAAGTCACGAATGACCAACTACAATTGGAAAAAAAGAAAGGGGGCCAGTGCTTTTATTTTTCGTTATGGATATAGAATAGACCAATGGAATTGAAAGGCCAATTTGTCTCTAACACTGTTGTAGAAAATGTACATTTCATTTTAGTTTTAGGAGGGAGAAATACTTACATAACTCAAGAGGTCATCACCATGTGAATGGAAGAAGTCACTGTTCTTCTTTCCACTTATGATCTCCAGAACTAAGACCCCAAAACTGTATACATCTGATTTTACTGATAAAAGGCCATGGATTACGTATTCCGGGGACATATAACCACTTCCATCAAATACATGCAAAAAAAAAGGACAAATCATTACTCCAAAGAATTACTGTAAACAATAACTTTATCATTTATACAAAAAGGAATGCTGTTTTTAAGACTTCAGTGTTCTGAAGAATGCCGAAAAACGAAAGAAAAATTCAAGGGTTAGGAAGTTATTCGTATTTCATTGGTATGTAAAACTTACAAAGTGCCAGCAATTCTGTTCGTGTTTCCTTCGGATTGGTCTGCTTCAAAAAGCCTTGCCATGCCAAAATCTGCAATCTTTGGGTTCATATTTTCATCTAATAACACATTACTTGGTTTAAGGTCACGATGTATAATTTTAATTCGAGAATCTTCATGAAGATATACAAGTCCCCTTGCTATCCCTCTTATGATCTGGTAACGTGTTGCCCAACTTAACAATGATTGCTTTTCCGGATCTACACAATGTGACAAATAATAATTATAATAATAAAAGCAAAAATTAAAAAATTAAAAAGATTCAAATAGTTCTTTTTTTTTTGGTAAATTGTAAATTTCATTGCTTTCAAAACTGAATACTTACAAGTGTTTATCTTCTATTACAGAATTGCAACTTAATGCCAAGTTTTCTAAGTACCAGAAAAGATTCAAGGTACACTACAACAAAATGTAGCTATTAGGACGCAATTATTGGGACGCTTTTAGTACAAGCGTCCCAATATGGATATATTGGGACATTTTTATAAAAGTATCCCAATATATTATTTTAACAGGATAATTATATGCGTCCTCATAAAATGCGTTCCAACATGAGGGTATGACACTTAAAACTGTCCTAATAATAAGTATATTGAGACAATTAAAAGTGTCTATTTGAAGTTATTTAAAGAGACACTTTTAAATGTCACAATAAATATAAGCGTCCCAATACTTGTAACTAATGGGACGTTTTAAAAGGTCCCGTCATAAAATAAGTATTTTATTCAACTCAATTTTTTTAATTAAAAAATAAGAATTGGGGTTTGATTGCACTACTTATATATTTATATGTTTAATTGATGATTATTTTGTACATTCATATTGTTGTTCTAGTTTTTAGTAAATGTATTTTAACACCTTTAATTTTTTAGAATAACCCCTATAGTTAAAATGATATACATATTAGTACTTATAAACTTTAAGTAATAATAGTGTGGCACCCTGAATTTTATATTTTCACCCCATTAGATTTTTCACCGTGACATATTTTGTTTCTTCATTAATTAAAAGTACCACTGTTAAATAATACATGAGTCTCTAATTCCAATATGTAATTTTAGACCATGACGAAGGCATTTATATATCAATAATTTGAAATTGACTTTTTTCTTTACAGTACACATAGTTATTGCTTATACAGTTACGAGTTTATCTTCTAAATAAAATAATATATAAATAGACATACACACACACAAACACACAAGTATTCCTATTATATCGTCCCTCAATTTCGAAATGATTCTGATGAAATTAAAAATTGTTCTTAATAAGTATTCACATTGTCCCAGAATTATTGTCCTGATTGTATTTTTAATGCAAATTTTGATGAAATTAAAAATTCTAACTGAACTATCATTTTGGGATAGATAGATTGTACCTCATCTATATCCAATATGCACTATGTCTCACTGTATTAGTTTAATCTGTTAAAGTACTTCATATGTTTCACAAAAACATTCTTCATTGTCTCATTGTAAATTGTTCTTAATAAGTATTCACATTGTCCCAGAATTATTGTCCTGATTGTATTTTCACTTAGAGTATAATTTGAACTAAAAATGAAAATTCAAACTGGATAATAATTTCGAGACGAAAATTTACAATTTATAGTGGAATAGTTATATTGGACGTACGGAGAGAGTATTATAATAAGCTCTATGTATATAATTTTGAAAATAATGTTATTTCATGATATGGAGTAACACAATTATAACTTACATATATTTTTAATAACACATTTTTAATAAGAATTTGTTAAATACGTACACCATTCCTTCCTCAAATTAATTTTTTATGATATTATTTGAATATAACAAGCAAATCATTTTGATATAATGAGAATTTTTTAATAGATATCTTAAAATTTCAACAATAATACATCCATTATAACTAATATAAAAAAATTTTGTGTCTAACAATTGATAAGATTTAAGCAAACGGTATGTTTTTGGAAAAAAAATCGCATTTATTTTAGTACAAAAGTATGTATAACAATTTTTTTTTTAAAAAAAAAGGAGGGAAAAGCCCCCCCAAAACTAAATTTTAGATTAGAGGGAATTTTACCCCCAAAAATTATACTGTACTGGAAATTGGAATTAAAATGGAGGGAAAAAGGCTAATTAAGAGGGAAATGGGAATTTTGCTTTAAGGTCTACAAGTCCCACTTTATTTTTCCAAGTCAACAAATCTGATCCCTTTGAGTTTTCCCCTTTTTTTCCTTCTCCGCCGCCCCATTTCTGCCTCAACCTCTTGCTCCGCCGCCCGCAACCTCCACAACATGCAATCGCGTAGATTTTTGAAGCGAAAAGCATGTATACTTATGTCGGAACTAGAGCTTCGACCTGGTCACAACCTTTGCACGATTACGTTCGAGTTTTGAACTGAGCCCAATGGCTAATCGGAACTGCTACTTTCGGATCTACTTAGATTCCGACTCAATCGGACATTATAAGAAGATGGACGAAGAAGAGCATGGCGTGTATGGCAGTAAAATCCCCGACGAAGGTGAAATGGAAGGAGATAACGCCGACGTCGACATGACCAGCACCTATGAATACGATGCCGTTAAGGTTCCACACTCGTTTGCCTTTTTATCCACCCCTCTCTCTCTGTGGGTTTATTCAATGGATCTGTATAGTTTTTTGATCGATTGAATTCACAGGAGTTGGATGAAATAAAGAAGCGATAAAAGGAGATAGAAGGAGGGGTGCCATTATACAAGGTCAATTTCATCTTTTTCCCATGTTTGCTAGGGTTCCTTCTTGGTTGCAGTCCTATGGTTTTTTATATTGATGAGAAACAATTTTTAATGCATTGACAGATCCTGCAAGTGCAGCTGCTTCTCAAGCAAACAAAGGAGTTGATTTCCGATTTGTATTTGTTGGAAACATGAGTACTAATTTTGAAGTTTTGTTCTCGTTTTTGGGTGAGTGATTTCAATTTGTTTATATGGGATGAATTACTGTTCTTTTCTAAGTGAAGTATGCCCAATTGTTTGTATGGACTATGTTGTTAATGATGCTAAGCTGAAATTATTCTGTGTTGTTTTTTTTATTGCTTAGCTTCTTGATTATAATATGAGTAGCTACGCTGTTCCTTGCACTCCTGATTGTTTGAAGGTTTCATTCCCTTAGATGCAATGATAATCATGCTTGACATCTTACTTTTGTTCCTGATTGTTGGTTGTTTATGAAAGTGGATCTTAAGTCATTGCAATTGTGATCATCAGTGGTCTGAATTCCACGCAAACTAGATACTTTGGTTGATTAAAAGAAATTCTGCTTTGAACATGGTATCTTTATGACTCTAAAACTGAAAATTTAGAACTCATGATTGAAAAGACTAACGTTGATGTGCTCTTTCTCCTTGACTTTAAACTCTGCTCTCATAAAATTTATTTGAATCCATTCTTTGTCCATCAAGGTATATAGTGCTCAAGGGCTGATATAATGATCGTTATTGCCATTGCTAATTAATTTAATTGTTACATAATTATTATTACATTTGAACGTGGTGTGGTGAATTCTTTCTTTTGATACTAAGACAGACATTACCTATTTTTATAGCAGCTGTAGTGAATTCTTTCTTTTGATACTAAGTAGCATCATCTCTTACTTTGGTTAACTTTTTTCTAGTTGGGACTCTGTGCATGAGTTGATAGATTGCAATCCTTTGATGTCCAGTTCAATTACAAGGGCCTTGAAATCTTTCAACCTCTGACCCGGGTTGTTGCTTCTTCAATTTCGAAGGAAATCGTGAGGCTTTTGACAGTACTATAAGCCCAGGTAGATCTTATTAGTTGATTTTCGCTTTCTATTGTTGACAGTCAGGCTGATATGTCCGACTTCAATGTGTTTATGGCATACAAAAATTGGAGAGTTCGGTTGCATTTAAAATTCTAAGTTACGTTATTTGTTGTATGGAATGTGATGTTTCAACTTGTGCTTACATTATGCGATTGCTCTAGATTTGGAAATCATAAAGAACTTTTGCTTGGTTCCTTTAAAGATAAAACTTTGATGGAAAATTTATAATTGTGATGCCACAAAAATTTTCTGTCTAGTTCTGTGAAAAAAAGATTGTGAAACCCTTTAATTTTTAACTCCAGTTGCTGCTTCTCTATTTTCGGAAGGAAATCCATGGCTGACCTTCCCCCTACTCACCCCATAAGATTGTGGCTAATTGAGGTGAACCTTTTTCTTTTTTTCCTAACTTTGATTCTTGTCACTGTCAATACTTTTGGTGGTTTAATGTGGGTTCTGCCAGCTCTCAATTCAGCTTGGATAAACTACCTTAATACTTGGTGTCTACCTTAGAAAAAGGTATGCTCTTGTGGAACTTGGTCTCTTATTTTTCTTTCGCTGTTGTCATGCATTAAGTTGTTTCCAAGTGTGACAAAGTAATAGCTTTCTGAGTTCTTTCCAATGTTTAGTAAGTGTTGTTAGTGTTGAAATTTAAGTGATAATGATGATTCTTAACGATGAGTCTTGGTGTTGGTTGGCTGCCCATTTTTATCACTTAAGAGTTCTGTGATTTATGGGTAATGATGTTGGCTGGCTGCTACTTTTCATCCATCTGAAGGTTTTGACGATTGAGCTCATCTACTTGAAGGTTTTGATGATTTAGCGTCTTTTTTTGGTTCTTTAGATAAGTGTATGCATTCTCAAATGATGAGATTTATGTATCTTTTTGTTGGCCATGAGATTTTGTGTATCTTTTTGTTGGCCATGAGATTTTTTTTTATTGTCAATTGAGATGTAATGGAAGATTGTTCAATAATTATATTAGAATTTTTCTTTATTGTTTTTTATTTTTTTCATTTTTTTCGAAGATGCTATTAGGACACATTGAAACATCCGTACAAAAAAGAACTAGTTTGGACACTTAAAAGTGTCTCAATTGGAAACATTTATTTGGACACTTAAAAGTGTTTCAATTGGAAAATTTTATTTGGACACTTAAGAGTGTCTCAATCGGAAACATTTAACGGGACGCTTCAACCAAACGGGACACTTCATTGCGTCCCATAGACCTATTATGACATTGAGCTGGATGACACTTTTGCATGTGTCCCAATAGCTGATACGTCCCAATAAGCTACATATCGGGACACTTTTGAGCGTCCTTACATGATCTTTTTGTAGTAGTGGTAACAATTAAGGTGAAAACTCGAAAGGCCAAACTTAAAAACAAAGAATTTCTAACTCGTAGTGCAATACCCAAAACGCACCTTACTTTAAGGAGTAAGTGGATTTAGTCCACCATCTTGAAATTTTTTCTCTTATCAAATTTCACTTATCTTATTAGTTGAGTTGAATTGGATAACTATTTTACATTACCTATGTAGCTAAAGTCACAAGTAGATTTCCACAAAAATTTTAGAGAATTTTTTTTAAAATTAACCATATAAGTCTCTGGATCATTTATTTACCCTCAAAACTATATGGACTTGGAGTTATTACCTGTTTGATAAAAATTAATGTTTAATTCTGAATATTTAATACAGAATTAGAAATACTGAATTCATTAATCAGTTACGTAATAAGCAATAAGTTAACTTTTATTACTTATATTTTGTACTGGAGTTTTAACATCACTTAATTTATTAAGAGGTTCATTTTTTTGTCATTAAACATGCTGAAATGAAAAAAAAAATGCTTAATCTAGTAAGTTTACGAATTAAGTGGCTTTATCAAACAGGCATGAGCTTTACGTGAGACTCGGGCAAGACTACTCACTTTTTCCTAATTCATGAAGTTATAAATAATTATGCTGATTAAACTAATTTTTAAAATTGAGTCGTCAAATAAATTAGGTCATAAAGTTGAGGTACTATTTTCAAAATATATACGAAACATTTCTTTCTTTTACAATTTTTTTCCCCTAGTTTTGTGAAGTCTCTAAAGTTTCCCTTGAAGTACAAGTTGATGATTGAGGACTTACCAAATAGGAAGTGATCGAGGCTTTTGTTCGGAACATACTCAAAAATGAGTAGTTTTTCTTCTCCTTCCAAGCAGTATCCGAGCAGTCGAACCAAATTCCGATGTTGAAGTTTCGCAACCACAACAATTTCGTTAATAAACTCTTCTGTACCTTGAGTTGAGTTTTTTGATAATCTCTTTACGGCGACCATTTGCCCATTTGGTAGTGTGCCCTGACAATTGTTATATAGTACAAGTAATAAAGTAAATGAAAAAATACGTAATGATGTTTGGTGTAGTAATTGTCCAAATTTAAAAGGGACCGTGATAAGAATTGTCCACCATATTTCTTGCCCCATAAATGAACTCCTATATATGGGCGTCTCTCATATTTGGTATAAGCTTTTTGGTCCCCCGTTTGAAATTGTTTATGAACATGTCAATTACGCAAAATTTTAAGGGACTATGGATATTTATCTTGAAAACTGAGGAACCATATATAAAAAAACAAAAAAAATAAAAAAAATCCAATTTTCTATTGTAAAAAGTAAATTTATTAATTTTTACTGGAAAATAGTCATCTTCATCAATTGAAAAAACCACATCATCAAGTTAAAAAGTGCACCTTAAACACAGATCCAAATCCACCTTCACCGATCATGTTTTCATCACCAAAGTTGTTTGTACAAGCTTGAACTTGGACAAGATTATATTTCAAGGATTCTGCATCAGCTTTGATACTGCTTACATCTTCATCAACAAGAATAGAAAAACCATATGTAGCGAAATTAGTCTTAGTTTAATCGCAATATTCATAAAAGGAGCTACTTACTTCGTTCATATCTTCAAGTTACCTGACATTTTGGGTATGACATTTTGTGTCGGTTTGGCCTTCCTTACAATGCAGAACAAAGCTGCAGATGCAACAACAATGGCAGCAACGATTGGGACGATAATGAGTACAATTGTTCGGACTGAGATTCCCCCATTATCTGTATTGTTTCAATAAGAGTACTAATGTTAAAATGAGACGGAGGGAATCAAAGAGCAACCAATACAAGTTTGATCCAATTGTTGTATTTTCCTCTGTCCGAAAAAAAAAAATAGTACAAATCTTAAAATTCAATGTTTTCTTTTTTCTATTTGGATACAGAAAGACGGTCAAAGAATACTGACGGTCAAAGAATACTGTTATTAATACAAATCTCAAAAAAATGTATTCTGATACGTACTTACCTTTACTAGTTGCAGTTGCAGGTACCAGAGGAGGAGGAGGAGGACGAGGGGGTGTTGGCGGCTGCACTGATGGCGGAGGAGGAGGAGGAGGTGGAAGCTGGTAATAAAAGGGATACGTCTCGTACCTAATATTACAGCTGGGGAAAAGAACTCTGCCACCCTGGCGACCGCTACAGCAATTGGGGAGCTTAGAGATAGCATCTGCAAGACAACCTTGGCAGTCCAAAGTGGAAAGATCTGGAGTGCATTGTCCTAAAGCATATACCCTCCTCTGGAACGTCGTAAAGTTAGCGTCTTGAACAGCAAATTTCTTTCCGGAGGAATCACCATTTGCAGCCCTGGTGGCTATACTATCAAACAAGTCCCCTAGAATCCGGTTCAACGAATCCGGGTCCGTCACATTCTGCGTGTTAAATAGAGACCAGATGATGCCTGAATCCTTTTTGGAGTAGAAAGATTGATTCGAATACCGCAACATGCAGTAGTCGTACCAGGCAACCACCTGGTTACGGTTCGGGCACCCGCTTAAAACTTCGGGCCGCGCGTCTGTCAAGCAAGTTTGACAATCACTGGCATTAACGTCGCCCCGGCAGAGAAACAGGCCGTAGGCGGTTGTTTCGCCCGTTCCGGCGGAGTAATACTGGAATCCATTAGGTCGAGAAGCATTTGAAACTAAAACAGAAAGGAGGGAATCCAGGTTGTTTCTGAAAGTCCTGCCATAAGATGTATTGTTGTTGTATAATGTTGTGTTTGGGCAATAAATAGCCAAAGGATTGGAGTAACAAACATCCGGGCTGATGATCAGTACTACAAGTAGAAGGAAGCAGGCAAATGGCAATGGAGAAATCATCATGGTTAATGTGTTGAAGCGCAAACAACGTGGATCAATATATTATTCTTAATGTTTTAAGTGACTTCAAGTTCCAGGAGGATAATTAATCCCGTGTCCTCAAAGACAATATTTTGGGTTACAAAAGAAAAACCAACAAATGAATATTCAAGTTCCGAACGTAAATTGTGGTTCAGATTGGAACAACATTTGACTAAGACGAACCAAAGGGTACGGCGAAGACTTGGGCTTCTCCTATCCGTATTGACTATAAATTTTTCTTTTTTTTTTTTTGGGGGATGGGGTGTATTGAGTTATTGATGTTGATTGGAGTGAAGCAATGAATAAGCAGCAAGCAAAAGACTTAAATTAGTCAAGGGCAATTAAATTTCATCACATTTGAAATTTCAGAAATTCACATCATTGATCCCGGAACTTTAACGTCGAATATTATTATACTATCTCTTAAAGGACCTCAAAACACTACCTAATTCAACATAAATCTCATCCATCACAATACAACATTACAGAATCAACTTAAAACCTCATAATTAATGTGCGGTGTACACCATACAGATTGATCGTTGTATCTAACATTTACAGCTACATGTTAATTTTCTTTACTTCACATTTTATATCAAAGTGTCATTGAAAGAATAACTGTACACTCTGCATTAAGAATCGAGTGTTTATATATATATATATATATATTTTAAATTTCTCTTATTAAATTATACATCATATCATAAATGGAGAATGAGATTTATACATATGGAAATTGCTTTAAGAACATAATATTTACCCTCGAAGTTGAGGGACCATTTACATAATTTCTTACACATTGTAATGCATCATTACCGACCACGACTGTTATAATAAATTTTTCTCACAAAAAACAAATGCAAATGCTTAAAACGCTAAATCACTCTGTTATAATTTGGAATTGGAATAACACCGATTATGTCATTTTACCAACCACAACCTAACACATTCGTGAACAATTTTCACTAAATATATTCCAAATTCGCCTTCTCTTTTTGGAACCCAGAAGCTTCGTAGAAAAACAAATTTCATTCGAGAAGATAGAGACGTTTGTTACAGGAAGATGGAGGTTTAGGAAGTTGGAATTCGAGCGATAACTGTATATTTTGCTGCCTTGTTGGAGAAAAGTGTAGTCTTCGTGGAGAACTTTTTCCCCCTCACGGAATTAATTGATAAATTTATATTATTCCATTTTATTGTCCAATTTTGCATTTTTAGTTTAAAATTATACTAAAAGTGAAATTTCGTATAGACAATGATTTTGTAATTAGAAGTTAGATGTTCCCCTTTCTTTGTGAAGATGTCATCTTTCCACTAAAGTCATTATCTTATGCTCGAAGTCTCCCAATTACGTGTAGTCAAGTGAATAGGTTCAAAATAATATTACTTTATGCCAAAACATTTAAAGAATGATTGTTGATTTCTGACTCAGACTTTCAAACTCCAGAGTTGACCAAGTCTCCCCTCAGCTCCCTAAATTCCGAACTTTCACCCGGTTGCAGACCAAGCCCAAACCACCACCATCTCACTAGCTGTCACCGCCGGCGTTGACTCAACCCACCTCAGTCACTGGGGCACTTTCAGCAATCATCGTATTCCTCAAACCTCTCAAGCCTTCCATTTTCATTTCATCATCCAGTTCAATCAACCACCTGATGATCATGGCATAATTTGTTCCGTTGTGTTTCAAATTCTTGCAATTCTTTCGACCTCAATTAGGCCTGATTTCTGGGTTGATTAGTTCTTTTTGCTGGTGAAGCTGCTAGCTGTAGAAGAAAAAACAAAAACGGAGGGTTGGTGAGATTAAAGAGGACTCTGTAACTACAAAGTCTTGCTGGTGAGATCCCTTTTCAATAATTCTTCTGATTCGCTAAAATCATAACATTAATTTGCTAAAAGAGAAGGCACTCCGGAATATCTATCTACTTTTTCTACATAGTAAATGTTGAAGTCCTTAGATGGTGATTGTTCAGTATTAGTTATCTCTGAAGATTTGGTTTGGCAAATCTTGAAATGGATGCCGGTCAAATCCTTGATGAGATTTAAGTGTGTCTGCAAGCTTTGGTTATCGATTATTCTGAATCCATTATTTGTCAAGATGTATAAAGGTGGTTTCAAAGGTGTCCTACTCACCGGCCCTGAAACGGAAAAACATCCCAATCGTGATATCTTTTATTTGGACATAACAGAGGATGATGATAATGATGGTGTCTCAGCCCATATTTCACATCACCAAACCATGAATCTACCCAAAGGGATGAGATCCACAGTTCCTGTTAATGGCCTAGTATGTTGGTACAATGGCATTCATTCGATTATCTACAATGTTGCCACAAGAGAAACCATGGTTCTTCCTGTTTCAGTTTGGGATTCTGAGTTCTGTGATTACTATCTTGGTTATCATCCCTCTGACAACATATACAAGGTACTTAAGACCTGCCCTGTCTACAACCGTCAGAGTCGCGATTTCAGGCACTACACGAATAGCGAGATTCTAACTGTTGGTGTTGATTCGTCGTGGAGAAGCATTGATCCTGTTCCTTGTCATTTAAGAACTTTTGCTTATTGCAAAAACGGAGTTCTACATTGGGCTGATCAAGGAAAAACAGAAGGCCATCTTCTTAGCTTTGATCTTGATCAAGAGAAATTCCAATTTTTCGATATCCCTTTCAGATGGCTCTCCTATTCATGGTTGTTTGGACCAAATGCAGTTCTGGCGTCCTGGTATCTTAGGCAACCTGGAACTGGATACAGGAAGGTAACAGTTTTACTTTACTTTGAGGATCTTCATCATATTCGCAAAGGCGGGCAAAACTCCTCAATAGGGCCCTGGACAAAACATGAAATTGATGCATCAATATCAGAAGAGCTTCAAAGTTTCAGGCCAGTTAGTACACTCTCAAATGGGAAGGTAATTTTCATCCACAATTCCGCTTGGGCTTGGAATTCTCTGGTGCCCTTTTATATATATGATCAAACAGAGAGGGAGCTGAAGAAATGTTTCATATCGGAATCGAATTCATCCTCCGTCGCAGCAGAACACATTGTTGACACCAGTCGATTTGAAAATGCGTTTTATTATGAGGAGAATATCATCCCATTAAGCTATTTAGGTTCCGGGTATTGTTCTCAATAGAGTTTATATTTGTAATGCTAGATTTGTTGAATTGTTGTCTTCGTGTCGAATGATTGTTATTCCCTCCATCCTAAAATTACTGTCTAATTATAATTTTCATATTTAGTACAAATTGAACTAAAAATGAAAATTCAAATTAGGCAACGATTTTAGAACAGAGGGAGTATTACCTTTTGTTTGCATGATATCATAATAGGTTTAAGTGGAACTTATGCAATCTTCTGCGCCCAAATTGGGGATGTAACCAATCGACTTCCAGTGTTTATATAATCTTTCCAATTTTACCCAGAAAAGTTCTAAGAAAAAAAAAGGTTAAAAAAGAAAAATTATATTTGATATTTGTAAGAAAGATTTGAGAGTTGAACTTGAACGAGAGACATTGCAAAAATTATAAATTTTTCCAATGAGGTGTGACAAGTCCATATCCATCACGGAGACTGGACCGCCCCATTAACCGAAAGGAGAGTCCAACCGGGACTCTTGAGGCGGTTTAGATTCCCGAAACCTAATAAGATTCAGGAATTTCCCAGGTATTCTGATACCTCTAAATAGAGTTACTCACACCACAATACAGGTACGCAATCTACAGCTTAACATACTACATACCTAAACCCTCCAGCAACCCTTTATTGACTTAAGCATCGGAGTGTCTACCCTCGGGAGACCCCGAGGCTCTATTTTGCAGGAAACCCTAGCCGAAATTCCACTGTTAGACTGGCGGCGCAAAACCAAGTTTCGCCAAGTGGCACGCCTAGTGGGACCGAAAACTAGGGTTTGTATCACAAAAACCTTCTCAGGTTTCCTTATCATCTCCCGGTAAAAACTAGGGTTGCAGGAACAACCTGCACAATGGTTAGAGTTGAAGACGACACCAGTAGCACAGCATCTTCCGGCCGACGGCATAGTCTAGGGGACAATACCCCCCCTGGCCGAATTCCAACGCAGACAAGAAAAAAAGAAGCCAGGAAAGAGCCATGGTGGAGAACCTGAAAGAGAATCAACAAAAGAACGCTTGGTCCTTGGCGCTTCCCAGCCTGATCCGGAGAAACTAGGCAAAACCAATCTTCCACCCGAGAAGGAGGATGTACCTCCTCCTCGAAATACCCTTGCTGCCAAAAAGCGTTTGGAGGATCAAAAGCTAGCCCAGATCGAGGCTGAACTCAAGAAGCTTGGAGATGATAGCTATCAGCAACAGAGGATGCGAAGATATGTCCTCGAAGAAACCAGGCGGCGCTGTCTCCTTAGAAAATCTGATCCCACAGAACAGGAATTGAATGATTTGATCGATGAAAAAGAAGCTCCCAGAACCCTAGCCCTTCTCGAGAAGAAGCAGGGGAAACGGAAAGTCCAAGAGGACGAGAATTATCAAGAACCGGTGGGGTATGAAAACCCCCACGGAAAACGCTCAAACGCCACCCGGGATACCATATTCTGGAATGCCTTCAGAGAAAAATACCCAGCATTCGAGATGGACCTCGAGGAATTTGACGCGGCATACCGACGTAAAAATACTCGGGAGTATCGCGATTCCCCGAGTGTCGAGATCATCGAAGGAGAACAGGGGAACCCCCCAAGGTGAACTAATGGACATAACTGCCTAGAATCCAATTGGAATCAAAGAAGCCCTCGGAGAGATGAATATAAACCCGGCCACAAACCACATCAAGGCTACAACAACATCAAGGGCAACTATAATCGAGGATACCACCACCATCCTCGATACTCACCTCCCAGACATCAGCAATACAATAGGCACAACGAAAATCCGCCATACCCCCAGGGAGACCAACAGAGAACAAGAGATCTGAACATCTTGATCCGAGAAGAAATGAGGAAGATCATCGGGATAGGGCTGGACCGAAGTCCCTTCGTCCCCGTCATCCGAGATGAGCCTAAGCCCCGAGACTTTGACTTTCCCAAGGAATTTAAACCGTATTCAGGAGACGCCGATGTCACCCAATGGCTACAAGGATATGTCCAAGTTATGAGGATCCGAAACGCTACTATGAACTTCATGGCCAAAGCGCTACCCTCCTATTTTGAGGGGCCAACACAGTGATGGTTCGGGCAATTGCCAGAAGGGAGTATAATTAGCTTCGAGGATCTATCAGTTAAATTAGCTACCCGATTCTTTCAGAGTAAACGGATATCGCAAATGTCCATTGATCTCTCTTCAATCAGACAAGGGCAACACGAGAGTCTCACTGATTTCAATAGGCGGTTCATACAGGAAACCTTGCAAGTCGACAAAATTGATGATCGAGACGTTCGTAACGGATTCATTCAAGGCCTCAACCCTTTTGGAAAATCCTCGATGTTGCGAGTCAAGCTCTCGACTAAACCCCCAAAAGATTCTCAAGAGATGTGGGCCATTGTTGAGAACTACATACAACGAGAACATACACTCAAAAGATCCCAAGAATCTTTTGCGTCAGTAGGACCAAGAGACAAATCAAAGGCATCCATGGAGAACAAACCGGCGCTGCCTAAGATGGACAGGTAATTAACACCCCTGACCAAACCACGGCGGGAAATCCTCCAGATCCATAAGGACGAATTACCAGTCCCCAAACCTTTGGCACCCAATCCAAACAGGTCAACAGAACAATTTTTTGAATACCACAAGGATCACGGCCATGACACGGAGGATTGTCGAGAACTTAAGAGAGAAATCGAGAACGGGGTTAAGTCTGGCAAGTTCCAGCAGTATGTACAAGGAGCCTCTCGACAAAGGAATAACAAACCCCAATCACGAAATTACCCTAAAAGAAATTTCAAAGGCCCACCACGGGGAGATAGCCGGGGGAACAGTTGGCCACCGAGAGTCAATATCCAACCACAGCCTCACCAAATTATCGAAGCAGCACCGCAGCCGCTCCAGCAACTCCCCCTGGCAGATCCACCGAAGCAGATCACTCACCAAGTAGGGGCTATTTATGGAGCTCCCCTTGAAGTTTTATCCACCACAGCCATGAAGAACTCATTGTGAATCGTCAGCAAGACTCCTCGACAGGAGCCCAGCCATAAGAGGTTCAAGGGGACAGAGGCCATCGTATTCACAGACAGCGATGTCGTCCCGGACATCTGTCCGCACAGCGACGCCATGGTTATTGAGGCAATAATTGCAAATGTAAAGGTTTGAAGGGTTTACGTGGATAATGGCAGCGCAGTTGACATCATATACAACGATTGCTTCAAGAAGATGAATATCAAGAACCCAAGCATCTGCCCAGCCACAATGCCCTTGATGGGATTCTCCGGCCACACCATTATTCGAACCGGAATAATTAGCCTCCCCATCTCTGTAGGGTCGCATCCTAGGACGGTCACCTTAACCATGGACTTCGCTCTGATAGATACACCCTCGCCGTTTAATGTGATTCTGGGAAGACCCTGGATGTGCCAAGCGCGTGCAGTTTGGTCTCCCTATCACTTAGTAATGAAATTCACGACAGAGTATGGAGTTGGAGTGGTACAAGGATGCCAGCGCAGTTCTCGAGAGTGCTTGTTCACAGCAGTCAGAATCGGAAAAAAGACCGCACGCCTTAATCTGAGTACCGCAGTATCGGAGTGTTACTCAATCCGACAAACATCCGAACCGCCAGAGGCGGAGAATCCCAAGACCTCCAATCTCCCACCGCTCAGCAGTAAGACACGAGAGTTGATCCTAAGCGAGACTGACCCCGCCAAGACCATTCAAATCGGCGATTCTCTCCAAAACCCATTGCTAGCCGAGGTTAGTACCTTGCTATGCGAATTCCGCGATATATTCGCTTGGTCTCCGACGGACATGACAGGAGTTCCTCGAGAAGTTATGGAACACAAGCTAAATGTCGACCCAAACGTCAAACCGGTGCAGTAGAAGAAAAGGGTGTTTGCTCGTGAACGCAATGACGTCATCAATGAAGAAACAATGAAGCTAGTCCTGGCCAATATACTCCGAGAAGTTCTATGGCCCACTTGGTTAGCCAACCCAGTCTTGGTGCGAAAACCCGATAATTCTTGGTGCATGTGCCAAGATTACACTGACCTCAACAAGCATTGCCCCAAAGACTGTTACCCCCTACCAGTCATAGATCAGATGGTAGAGGGCATGCCGAATACAGAATTCTCAGTTTTCTCGACGCATACAAAGGATATCATCAAATCCTCATGGCACGAGAAGATGCGGAGCAGATAGCTTATATCACCGAGATGGGGGTTTACTGCTATGACAAGATGCCCTTTGGACTGAAAAATGCAGGGGCCATGTACCAGCGTCTCGTGAACAGAACCTTTCATGACCAAATCGGCCGAAACATCGAGATCTACGTGGATGACATGGTGATAAAGACGAATAAAGACGAGCAAGTAGCTACAAATATGAGGGAGATTTTCACAATCTTACGCAAAATAAACATGAAGCTGAACCCTAAGAAATGTACTTTCTGTGTTGGGTCAGGAAAATTCCTAGGATACCAAGTTTCGAAGGATGGAATAAGTGTCGATCAAGTGAAAATCGAGGCCATCTTGGCCATGGAAGCACCAAAAACCGTCAAAGAAGTTCAAAAACTCACAGGCTCCTTGGCAGCTCTGAACAGATTTCTTTCTCAAGTCGCGGAGAGAAGCCTTCCATTCTTCCATACCCTTCGCAGAGGCAGAAAATTCGAATGGAATGAAGAATGCCAGAAAGCCTTCCTGGATCTGAAGGAACACTTCAAGCAGTTGCCCACATTAGCTAAGCCTGAACCAGGAGAAACTCTATATATTTATCTGGCAGCTCGAGAGAAAGCCATCTCGGCCGTACTCGTGCAGCGCAAAGATGACGGAGAAATCACCGTCTATTTTGTTAGTAAAGTCTTGCAAGGAGCGGGTACCCGCTATACACCCATGGAAAGGCTCATCCTCAGCCTAGTCTTGGCCCCCCGACGTCTGCGCCCATATTTTCAAGCACACCCCATCATGGTTTTAACAGAACAACCAATCCAGCAAGTCCTACTCAAGCCAGAGGCCTCCGGCAGGATGATGAAATGGGCAGTCGAATTGGGCGAGCACCACATTAAGTACAAACCTCAGTCAGCAATCAAAGGACAAACCTTTGTAGATTTCCTGGTAGAAATGCCTCGAGCTATCGATGTCCAATGCACTGCGGAGCCTAAAGACAATCCTGCTACTCGCGTCAACATCAACCCTCGAGCCTGGTCACTATACGTCGACGGCTCTCACTGTGATGAAGGGGGAGGAGCCGGTATCATATTATCCAAACCTCCAGCTGATCCCGACATCGAAAGCATGAAGGAGTATGATGCGGAATA